CATTAGCAAGTGGAGTGAGAGAATGCCTGTCCTTCTAAGTTCTCATATAAAGTCAAGAACAAATGAACCAGTTGACTTTTGTTACCTTTTGATATTTTAGCCCCATTTGCTAAAGATATTGATCATTGAAGTCCATTCCACTTTGTTCAACTTGAATGTTACTTACAAATCAGAAATAAATTTCAAATGTGGACACAGCCTTTTTCTTCCTTATGTTGGCCAAGTTTTGTTCTATAGCCTGCATTTTCTTATTTTCTTCCTGTTTGTCCTAATTTTAAACTAAAGAGATGACACATATTTCATGTCTCCTCATGTATTTTTTTAATTTTTAGTTTTTAAAATTATGTATGTATGCATGTATGTATGCATGTATGTATGCATTTATTTGATACAGGGTCTTACTATGCAGCTTGGACTCATAGTGATCCTCCTGTCTCAGCCTCCCCAGCACTGGGATTACAGGCGCGTACCACCACACCCTCTTTCTATGGCCAGCATGGTGGGCATGGCATGTAGCACTGGGAACTGAACCTAGGTCTTTGCGCTTGCCAGGCAGGTGCTTAGACCACTGAACTATCTCTCCAGCCTGATGCCTCCTCAAGTTGGTAACTGTACATTGTCTTTGGATGTAGGCACTACGAATGTTCAACAAGTACCTTTTAACAGTTATTTTGCTAGTCCTGAATTGGTCCATATACATTCACATATGTATGCATTACCATCCCTAACCTTAGAGATCTCATGTGATAAATGAATGCATTATGATACAGTATGGAAGTCTTTGTTGTGCTTAAAGATGATACTGAAACACTCAGTATCATCTTGAATAAGTCCTATGGGAGATATACTAACTTGTTCTATGTCCAGTACATAGAAGTTTGAAATTTTGAAAGTGAGTGGCATGGAATGGTTAATAATTTTCAGGTGACACAGAGGTCAGACTTTCTGGAAGCCATTAGAAAATTTAGTAGAATTAACTTAGAGACTTTAAATATGCGGAGATAAGAGATTGGGATAAGTCATAAAAAATAAGACCAATGACATAAATACAACCTGAAGATATGTATAAACCTTGCTATGAGATCTTTATACCCTTCTGGGGGCTTCTGTGTTTATCTCTGAGTATGGAGCAGAGTCATGTATGTCATGATTATGTTTACTTATTTGGCTGCAGCATAGATAACATATTACATTCAATTAATAATTACAATTACATTCAACAACAACAATTACAACTTCCTGAATAATAAATGCAAAAACATAGTGTTGAACAGGCAGATATATGGTCAAAGAAGACCATATGTGCAAAGAAGTGTATATGTGGCACAATTCTGAGTAGGATTTTTTGGCTAGGGAGACATCAGATATTCTGAATTGCAGTATTGCAATAGGGGTGAATATATGTGCATATATGTAACAGATATGAAGGAGGCAGCATGGACAGAAAGTGATGATTGACTGAACAGGGGTGGGGATAGTATGAGAAAGAGAAAATAGCATTGTTACAGCCTTCTGAATGTTGACCTGTATTTTCCTTTCTTCCTGGACCTTGACAGGCTAGCTATTTTGTGGGTGTTTCCATACCCATATGTCTAGTTATCAGTTTGACCAGCTGTCAGTTCTGTCATCCCATTTGGTAGGTTCACAATGGTATGGAAAAAATGGTGGGTCATTGACTTTGTGGCAGAGGCTATTTGCTATGGGAAAGCTATTATCAAGAATTATGCTAAGTAGCTCTTCCTGTCAGATGAGTTTTGCTGTTCATTCTGCTGTATGATATGCAGTATAATAAGGCTGAGGGATTGGATGCAGAAAGAAAGGCAGAATGGTTGAGAAATGTGGGAAAAAAGAGGGGAATTTAAAAACAAAACTAATAGTAAGAGTGTGAAGAGGCAACAAAGACAGTAGGAAGGAATATTTCAAATGAGCAGTTAGTTTACTGAGAGAATACCAAATACAATTATTGTTTGAGCTCAGTGTTTATAAGCTTCCTGAGGAAGCCAGTAGCCAGTGTTAGTTACTCTGTGGAGATTTCTGAAAAATGATTCTGAAAGGCAAACTTACCAATGTTGACAATAAATTTGTTGAAGCCAGAGTTTAAAAAATAAATATTTTAGCCCTTAGTTCTTTCCCAAATACTAGATTAACATTTCATGGGACTGGTGCCTAGCAGAACCTGGGGAAACACTAGTCTAATCAATTAGCACAGTAATTATTAACATTTGTTGAAAATTTTTTATCTGCTATGCATAGCTTCAAACTTTGTAAGGACTTACTTATATGTTTTTCACACCAGCATCACTGTTATACATTTATTATTATTATTATTATTATTATTATTATTATTATATTATGCTTATCTTACTAACAAAGAAATACTTTAACTTACTATCCCATTGCTAGTGATCAGAAAGCTTGATTGAAAACCTAATACGGTTTAAAAACAACTATCCCCTGTTACTTTATCTTTGACATTTCACAAGATGAAGGTTGATGGAAAGTGTGCAGCCTTTGATTCCACTGAAAGTCCCTTTGATCATGTCGTGAATAAGACTGATTTCTGAAGCATACAGACACCAAACATAGGCGTATTTATGACGAATGTTCATTAAGACCGGCAGTAACCCCTTCATTGCATATTATAGCTGAAGAAGCTGAAGCAACAGAGTTTGAAAACATGCACAGCTATAATATGGCTGGGATGAAGCTGTGAAATGCCTGGCCCATTGACAGCCAGGACCGGAGGGGTTGCTTCCTGTGGGAGATCCAATAAATGAGGAAAAGGGAAAATTGTGTAAAGTTCATGTAATTAGAAGCCAGTTTTGGGCTGGCCAGATAGCTCAGCAGACTAACGCCCCTGCTTAGGCAGAGTTCAGTGGCCGGGGTTTGATCCCTGGTGTGCCCTGCAGGCCCTGCCCTCGGGGCATGCTGAGACGGAGACTGGGTTTGGTGGCACGCATGTAATCCCAGTGCTTGGGAAGCTGAAAACAGGAGGATCACTACAAGTCTAGTTTACATAGTGAGACCCTGTAAACCCTGTAGACCAAGTACCAAACACAGGAAAAAAAAAAAAAAGTCAGTTTTGTCTGGACTCAAACACAGGGACTTTGACTTGAGTTTTCAGTCCTATATACTGTTTCCTCAGCATCTAAATCAGTGTGTATAACTTTCTCATTAAAACATTAGCATATTCATGTTTCATGCACTTATTCATGTAAAGGTCTGAAATTTCACACTATTACTACTGGATCAGACTTTGAAGATAGAATATTTTGGAGGCGAATGTGTAAGGAAAGTGTAATTTAAGAATATCAAGAAAAGAAACCATCTTGTGTCAGCCTAAGTAAACTCAGGAAGTGGGGGTTACTTAGAACCAGGAAAGGAAAGAATCTGTAATTCATATAAAAATGGAGTTCAAAATAGAAAGTGAATTTAAAGGGATCTAGACAACAGACACAAGTATTATCTCTTTCATAAACAAATGCATGTGGATTCTATTGCTTTTTTTTTTTGCTTCATACTTAGCAATGGATTTTTGAATTATACATTTCTACATTTGAAAGTTTACTCTTCATTAAATGTGATCTCAATACATTCTTTAGTTTTATCAGCTACAAAGTGGGGTTGTGCATTCCAATATCTCAAACTTATTCCACAGGACAAAAGAAATAACCTGTAAACGGTTGGAGAATGTAGGTGTATTATGGACAACCATCAATTTGGTATAACACTTTTGCTTTCCAGAGTTTTAAGCTTTCCATTTGGAAATGTTCATTTGGTATTTCATTCTAAATGTTCAGTTTTGTCTGTACTTTCATAAGGTAGAACCAACAACACTGTGTCTTCAGGAGCTGAGTTGTATACATTAGTTTATAATAAGGAGGTTGTATTTCTAGGTGACTTTTAAAAGCCCATTACAAATACCAGATTTAAAGTGACTTTTCTTTTTTTAAAATATATTTTCTCCTGTTTTTTATTTTTTAATTTTTAATTTTTCAACATTAATTTTATTGAGAAAGAAATAGCATTGGGACAGTTTCAAAACAAGTTAATGGGACAGTTATAATAATTAATACATTGCATATTGTTGTCTTCATAGTAATTATTCATAGTAGAAGATACAGACATGATATCTTGTCTAAACACAATAGTACACTTCTCATTGAACTAAGAGAAAGTAGCTGTATATCTATCCTATTATATATATATATATATATATATACATATATATATATATATATTTCACTACAAAATATCCTTCATTTATATGCCCCTTTTTTGTTCACTTTTTGTCACAGATGAGTAATACATTGCCATTCAAATATTGTAGGTGCGTGAATTCAGCAAAATTATCCAATATAGTCCAGCCGTCTATAATAGTAGTAGGTTATCCATAGGACTGGCAACATCAGAAGTTGTTGACTTGAGCCTTTTACAGCTCAGCATATTAATATGGCTTTACTTTTCATATCTCCTCTTTATACTTTTCTGCTGGATGGATAAGACCGAGATAAAGCAAGACCTAAAGTGACTTTTCTGTGTAGGAATTTGACTCAACAATTTTGTCTAAGCTGTTTGCTCTAACTGCTTGAATTGGATAGAATGAAAGTGCCATTAAAGAAAACATAAAACAATTTATTTATTTAGCCAATTATTCAAATGTATATCTTGAGTTTTGCTAATAAGTTAGGTCTGTATTTATATATATAAGAAAATGATAATATTTCTAAATGGACTTATGCTAACATTAAATGGGTGAATATTCACAAATGCAGGACTTTGCTTATCTCTTGGAGCATATGAAAATACTTTGGAAATCCTGTATGGTCTCTGTTCATAGTTTACGTGCAGCAGACAGCATTTTAAATGCATGGTATGCATTTTTCCCAAGTTAAATCTGTTAAAAGTGTCATGAAATGCTTCAGAGTAGTACAACTACAAGAGAAATGTGATAACTTTACATACTTGGGATGTTTATTGTCACTACTTTTTATTTGCAGGATGAATAAGAGATACTTACAGAAAGCAACAAAAGGAAAACTGCTAATAATAATATTCATTTTAACCTTGTGGGGGAAAGTTGTGTCCAGTGCAAATCATCATAAAGGTAAGCTCTTCTGTTTTGTCTCCCCTATTAGTGGAAGACGACTCCCTTTAACACCCACTGTCACATTCCATCTTCTCCAGTCTGTTAACTTTTAGAGGCTATGGGTCCCCACTGGCAATTTTAAGTAAAGAAATGCAGAGTTATCCTTTTGATGACTTTGGTGGGTGAAACCTGGTATTTTCAGGATTACTATCATTTCTGCAAATATTGTTCGGGGTATAAATTTTAACGCTGTCTTCCCTCCCCCTTTAATGTGGGGATGTTAAAACGTAGAGTTGGAAAGCAATACAGATGAACTCCAGATTGCCAGCCTTCTCATAAAGAAAGCGTCTTTAGGAATGGGTGTCTCTACGGTATGTGAAGAATAGATGCCAGTTTTCTTTCTGTGGCTTTTCCTGGGTCATGTTGATACCAGAATTCTTCTTTGACAACCCTTTGGACACGACCCCTAACATGACGTTGGGTAGGCTCAGTTTTGTCATAGAATCAAGTAAGAATGTGTATTCAGCTTGACAGCTCAAAAATGATGCTGTTTCTGTCCACTTTCCTGGTAATTAGGCTCAGAATAATGAATAACTGCCTTTCCTGAGTTAAAATGACTCTATTTCTAAAATGCACCCACCACAGTCAAATATTCATAACCTGAGAAGTCAATTTAGATTTTTCCATGAAATGTGATTTTGCAATTCAGTTTTCAGGCTACAATAGTCTGTGGAACAACAACTTACTTTCATATTCTACTTTAAAGTGAAAGGGGAATTAAGACTGCCTTGAACTCTATCTCATGTAAATTAGCTATAGATGGGCATTTAATTATAATTACATGAAACATGAACACCAGAGAAAGGAAAAATAGGCTGTGAGGGTGTGAGACCTATAAGACACATCTCTTTTCCTGGTCTGTAAATCCAAAAAGAGACATCTTGTGAAATAAAATTCCCTAAAAAGTTAATTCTTATTTTTTAGCTGTGTTTTGACCCATACAGTGTATGTCTTCTTGACTCTAATACACTGAACTATGATAGTTTTACCTATAAAATTGAGGAGATGTTAAGAAGAAAATTCTCTGTAGCTCCAAATTGGCAACAGTGATCCCAACCTAAGGAGTGCTAAACAATCCCCTGCTCAAGAAGGGGCAGACTGCTGGGGCCAAACCCTTCTTTGAGCTTCCCAAGATTAGTACCCCATCCTCACGGTCACTGGTAGTCATCCCAGATCCTATTTATAATCTGTAAAATAAAAATTGAGAGAAGGAAGGGCGATCCATAAAAGCTGTGATTGGAGGCCTAACATAGCAGAGTGTGTAGATGATTCTCCTCTCTAAAGGCAAATGATGGTATCTAAGAAAAATTACTTATAAATACCACCTCCAGCATAGATTACATAGCCTAGATTAAAGCTTTTGTAAACTTATGTTATATTCTATGCTGACTCCAAAACTAGTATATTGTCTTAAGAATTGCTAAGAAAGTACCTTTTGAACGTAAGACATTACAGATTGTGTCCGGAAACTTAAATGGTCAAATGCAGTAAATTTTTGCCAAACAGTTTTGGGTTGTTTTGCTGTTCCTTTTCCACTCTGTCTCTGATATTTTGGAGGAATATTTTATGAATGATCTATCTTTCTTTCTTTCTTTCTTTCTTTCTTTCTTTCTTTCTTTCTTTCTTTCTTTCTTTCTTTCTTTTTCTTTCTTCTTTCTTTCTTTCTTTCTTTCTTTCTTTCTTTCTTTCTTTCTTTCTTTCTTTCTCCTTCCTTCCTTCCTTCCTTCC